GTCACAGCCAGCCAGTATTTGAATGCGGTTTAAAGTCAGGCCTGTACATCTCATGCAATCATCTAGACTGTTTCACATTTCACATAAACAATCAGTCTCTTGCAGACTCAGTGTGTTCTGACATTGAGTTACAGCAAATGATCTTCCAGTAAGAGATTAGCGACTTTATAACATTAATAATTGAATATGCAATGTACTGTAGACTACAAGTCGAAAGATTAGACACACCTACTCAATCTCGTCACCAACAACACAGTAAATACACTCATGCATTCGCTAAGAATATACTTTTAAATGTAATACAAGTGTAATACACATTATGACTTTTTTCCAGGTTTCATCATGTGGGGTGCAGAGTATTTCTTCCAAGCAAATGCCATCTGTACTGTGTAAACAAGCCTAATCGAGATGCTGTTCGTGTGCTTTGTGTGTTTAGGAACATGTGGGTGTGTCCGCTCTTACATTAGACTGCTATACAGGTGTGGAGGACAGGGACTGCACTCTGGGAAAAACAATATACTGCAGAGAGACAGGTGTCCCTGCAGGAAGCTTCCATGCAGCATGTTTCATGAATTGATTGATATAATACATAGTGCGGCTTAATATGTCTATGAACACACTGAAAAGTAAAAAAAGAAATAAACATTATTATGTAAAAATAACTATTTAAGATTCTGCACTTTTTGAATTAATAAAATAAATTAGTGACACTGATTATGTTAACTCTATTGTACAATGGTCACATGCTCTTGATGTTCTTCAGACATTTAAATCATGCTAGAACATGATCATCAGGTTTTACAACCTCATGAGAATGCTGCTTCCATTAAAGTAAAAGGAAGACAAATTAAATAAGACATACTAAAATTCTTGTCTATTTTTAATAGTTTTTCTTTAAATCAAAATAATACTCATCATTTTTGTTTTTTGTTTTTTAACGCAAAAAAGAAGCATTTACATCCTAATTTAGGGCTGCCCCCGATTAAAGTTTTTTAGTCGACTAGTTGTTCATTTCAGCCATTAGTAAGTTTAAGTCTTATTGTCCTTTCAGATATTCTTTTTGTGTCTGTGGCACCCTTCAGTCATCGCCAACACCAAATGACAAATACAGACAAACATCAAAAATACAAAAGTACCTTACAAAAGACATCAACAACATCCCTCTCGCAACAGCAAAATCACTGCCAAAGATGAAAATGACAACTGTGATATCGCAAGGATTTAGGTAACAGAGCTATACTGGAGGATATTAAAGATCTTTGTGCACGGAAAGTTTGTAATAATGGTAGGCCTACCCTATACCTTCGACCAGATAACAACTCATATGCCCCACAGAGGGGAGAGGGGAGAGGGGGGAGGGAGGGGGAGGGGGAGGGGCACTTACTAAACTGCTTGTTTTCTTTATTTTATAAAAATGATTGTTTCCACTGTTATCAGGAAAACGCTGGCGTCTCCATGTTATGCAGTAAGCGTGCTATACTTAGCTTCCACACCGCGCGCACAGACACTTCCTTACTGTATGAGAAAAACAGTACACCAACAGAGTAATATGTCCGAATTAGTATTCGAAATATTAGGCATAAATAAAAAGAAATAAAGTTCAAATTCAAATTAGCCTGCGAGACCTCACCATTTCCTGTGGAGTGTTTTTTTTTAAGTGACAAAGCAACTAAAATATTGGTCGACTAAGCCTCTTCTCGTCAACTAATGATTAGTCGACTATTAGGGGGCATTTCACATGGATTTTTCTTGTCTCTGTGCAGGTACATGTTGTAATGGTTTGGTATAGCCTATTTGTATACACAAATGTGAGAAAGGAATTAGTAGCAGATGGCTGAAACAGGTTCAAACCTTCTCCTGAAATACACATAGGCCTTCTAAAGCTGCTATTATGAAACAATCTATTATCTTGCTCTCTTTGACTGTTATATTGGGAATTTTAATATTGATTTTTTTTATTACAGTCCTAAATTTCATCTTGGGTCTGTAAATGTGACATAGCCTAACTGACTGATCGCCTGACAATCAGCTAAGCTGGATTGCCTATAATCAAAATGGGTGAGTTATTTGCCTTTGCATTGCAGCAGAAACGTCAATTTGAATAAGTCAATGAGATACTTCAAACAAAACTGCCTGCACTCCTGTCAGCACACCTCTGTTTGATCTAGGCTTGTATGAAATGCATACACGATAGGGCAAGGTAGGGTAGGTTAATTGTGTTTGTGCATACATTTGTTTTTTTTAATGAATTTGATTAATATATAGCATATATTTCATGTAAATTTAATTGACTCTTTCAGACAGACTTTTACATGACTTTTTCATAGGGTATGCCAACTTTACCTAAAACATTTTGTGAGATTGTTTTAAGGTTACTGCACATTCACAGAGACAGCATTTGTAAAAAGGTGTGACAGAATCATTTGTGCCAAATAATGTTCCAAAGCGATTCTCCAATTAGAACAGATTTGCATGCATGTTTGCATGGAGGAAGTAGGTCAACTGCCATAGAGTACAAGAGTACAAAAAGTCCAATTAGAAGGAAGAAAAAATATTTGTTGCATTCTTATAACGTTTTTTATATACACTCAAAAATATATTTATGATGAGTTGAAATGAGTAAACTCAAGTAAACTTGCAGCAGACCTCTGCACAGACCCCTATGGCCAGCTTCGACTCCTCCCCAACATATGCCAGTGTGATGTATCCCAGTCTTCAAGCAGAACGAACTGGATGGAATATTCTGAATGATACAAATCCACAATCTGACTTGGGATGCAGCCTGGAATTAAACCACAGTATGTTGGTTCATTTGGTCAGATGAAAACTGATCCCCCGATTGAGCCTGCTTTCTCCAAAGTTTTTTCTCCATTTCTGTCAAATGATGTTTGGGTTCCTTGCCACTGTCACCTTTAGCTTGCTTAGTTGGGGACACTTAAAGGAGAACTCTGGCGCAAAATGAACCTTTGGTCTAATTACACATTGTTACCTAGTCAACCGTTATCTGAGATTTGTTTTCATGATTATCGAATGTAAATAGTTTTATCTCTACAAACAGTTTAGCCTATAAAGCTAGTATAACGCTAGTATATTGGGCATAGTGTAATGACAAATAAAAATCGCTTGTTAATACCACTAACAAGGCTCAAAATAGCCCCACACTAGCACGGTAGCATAATGAGGGTCCCTACCTTCAAACCGAAGCATTGAGAACTTTGTCAGTGTCCAGACAGTTTAATAAGAAGATATTGTATACATACAGTCAACTTCGCGTATACAGGCAGAAGCCATCTTTGAAAAACAGTCTCTACCAGTCGATCTACGAACGCCGATCCAAGCCTGCTGTTCGCGCTCACCTTTTCACAACTTATAGCTCGTTCACATCTCACCAGCGCACTTGGATCGGCGTTCGTAGATCAACTGGTAGAGACTGTTTTTCAAAGATGGCTTCTGCCTGTATACGCGAAGTTGACTGTATGTATACAATATCTTCTTATTAAACTGGCTGGACACTGACAAAGTTCTCAATGCTTCGGTTTGAAGGTAGGGACCCTCATTATGCTACCGTGCTAGTGTGGGGCTATTTTGAGCCTTGTTAGTGGTGTTAACAAGCGATTTTTATTTGTCATTACACTATGCCCAATATACTAGCGTTATACTAGCTTTATAGGCTCAACTGTTTTTAGAGATAAAACTATTTACATTCGATAATCATGAAAACAAATCTCAGATAACGGTTGATTAGGTAACAATGTGTAATTAGACTAAAGGTTCATTTTGCGCCGGAGTTCTCCTTTAATATTCTGCAGTATTTTTGTCTTGGATGTACTGACACAATTGGATAAGAACTGAGCTGGACGACAACATCACTGTTTTCTACAGAGCTGCTTTATATCTGAACTGAACTGTTTGTTTCCACATTTGATGATTTTATTGACTGACTTTGAAACAATTTGTATTGTGTAAAGCGCTATATAGGCTCAAATTATGGTGACTTGACTTGACTTAAACTTAAGGCCCATTCACACCAAGAACGATAACTATAAATATATTGTTCTGTTTATTCTAAGCGTGTGCTTGTCTGTCACTTTAAATGCTTAAACTCATTACAGCAGAATGGATTCTGATTTGCTGTCTGCTTTTATAGTTCAGATGGATTAAATAATTCTGAAAAGGATTCCAACGATATCGTTTCTCTGTGCCGTTATCCTTAGCTGTGGTGTGAAGTCTGCTATTCTTTAATACTGAGAATGATTTTTAGAACAATTTCTTTATAGTTATTTGTATAGTTATCGTCCTTGGTGTGAACGGGCCTATATGTCCAAATAACTTGATTCAATCAAGTTCATCCTGATTTGAGTAGAGATAACATGTTTCCATCATGCAGAAGCACTGTTAATGATTCAGTCGTGTGTTTTTGAGTGTAGGGTGAATTCAGGTTAATTGTCCCGATATTGTCCCAATGTATTTTTTTTTTCACAAGAACCATAACATGCAATAACTGACATAAATATATATTTATATAATGTATCTTACCCCCCAAAATGTGATATAATGTAAATAAATAATATAAATATATTATTTTAGCCCCCCCCCCCAACATACACAAATAATTTAATATTAAAATATAACATGCACTCATTGATTTAAATAAAGTTTTTTGAGCAGATTTAAAAAATAATTAGCCTACGTGATATAATAAATGCAATAATTGGTATATATTATGTCATATAAAAACTAAATGAAGAGCAAAAATTGAGAAGTACACATGAGTGATCACAAGAGGGTTTTATTAGTTTTTCCACAGAACTATAAATTACACTTTTGCAAAATGTCTATAAGTAAATACTGTAGAGAGGACAAGCATTTTGCACACGTCTGTCATAACACCATTTTTTATTGTGCCATTCTGTCTTCCACCATATAAAATTGTTGGCAACATTAAAAAGTACAGTGTGAGACACTGAGAGGTACTTGAGCATGTGAGAAAAGTGTGTGAAGGACGTGTGTTCACTTATCCTGACCCCCTCTGCTATTTTCCTTGCCGTGCTTCTTCATATAGTAGGCCCTGGCTAGACCAGAAATACACTGACTGAATTCACGGAAGTTCACTTCTCCATCATGGTTCTTATCCAGTTCTTCCATCACCTCCTTAATATTCTCTGGATCCACTTTATCCTGAGACAGACATAGAGGGAGGAATGTCAGTCCTGTTATTACTTACATACCACTCATAGCTGCAAAAAAATGATGAAGGGCAGCAGTGCATGAGATACTAAAAAGTATGTTAGCAAAGGAATGAGAGCAGGAATGAAGAGCAGGAATATTTTTGAGTTTCCATCATGCGTGTAACGACTTATTTGGGTAAACGCTTCTCATGCCAGGTTGCCGTAAGGTTGCCATAATAAGCCTTTACAGCACAGTAATTGCACAGCATTATGCAATAGATTTGTTGCAACATGTTGGAGGTGTATACTTCCCCCAACCAATGACTATCTCTCTCATTCTAACCTTAAATTCAGGACTGGTCAGTTGGGCTTTAATGAGCTGTCCGAGTTCAGCCTTACTGAGCTGGGACTTCTTCTCATCTGTTCCTGCATACCCCTCGAACACCTCCACTATGGCCACGATGGCTATCTCCAGCTTAGACATGTCTATGAGAAAGAGATTCATGAAGTTCACAAAGGCCAGTCAGAACCTCTTCATGCACATTTATCATCCTAAAGTCACCATAAAGAAGGTATATGGCCAATGCAAAACAAACAACACATTTATATTTGCTGCAAGCACATGACATGATGGTGAGTAAATAATGACATAACTTGAATGATATATCCCTTTAAATAAGACTTGAGTTAAATAACAAGAGTCATGCATTAAAACATTTTTTTTCATCCATCATATTGTGCTGTAAATTCCTCTAGTCTGTTTCTAAAATCTTCTTCTGTTCTGCTCTATTTTTGTATCTCTATATTTCCTGATTTATGCACTTTCTTTTTCTCTTTCTCTCTTCTTATTTTCTTGCACTTACCTCAGTGTTGTGGTTCCAGAGAAGTTATGCAGATGTTTTGTTGGAGTAAATCGTCTGCTGCTTTTAAAGCACAGATTTTATTCTCCACAGCACACACACGCACACACAGTGGGAAGAATGATTCATTCTTGGGCTATGTAGGATTCGTAGCACACCCAATCCAGTCGGATGAGGCATGGTCTGTAAAATAATACAGTAATCTGTTACACTTTTTAGATTCAAATATGATATTCTGCTGTGTTTTACTATGGTTATGCAATTTGATTATAGTAAATAAACAAACAAAAAATCGTATTGGGTATTTCCCAAGTCAGACTGCATGGGGAATCTGAGTCACAGTAGGACATGAGTGACTCTTTCGCTCTCTTCTGGGTGTTGCCCGTGCATTGTCCTTCCTTCCACGTAGAAAACTGTGGAAGCCTGAACTAACTGGTTTTTTTTTTCTGAAGTGACTGCATGCCCTTTCTTTAAACATTCTTTTAATAATGTTTCATCTTCAACATTTAGGAAAAAGCTGAAAGACTCATTGTGTAGCTATGACGTTTTTGGCTATATTTTCGTGGAGGCTTGAATCACAAGCTTCAAACAAAGCTTCATATTTGCAGTAAACAGTGACACACTTATCCTCTCTAAATCTAGTCTTCAGACATCAGAATGCCTGATATTTGCAAAATGGTCATTTGTAAAGGAGACTATACACTTTATCCGCAGTACACAAAAACGCTAACAATAATGAAGCCATCTGCAGACAATAATGCATGCAATGGTGCAGAAAACCATACTAGACAATGACTGCTCATCTTTATGCTCTGTTGTGGAGCAACATGATTTTTTTAGTATTTCCCAACATGACATACAAAGACACTGACTCATCATCCAGTGTCGTAATATAGTCTACATCTTGGAGACAGTAAACAGACAGATAAACAGACACACCCTAATAACCAAATATATTTATCATATATATTCCATTATTGATCATCACAGAATCTTGTTTATATATTTGTAGAACATAACCAAGATGGTAACACTAACAGCAAAGTAAATGTCGGTGAATGTAAACTCCACCGAAGTCTTTACCTCTAACCTCTGAGAAAGACCTTTAGGCTGTGGAGTATTAAAAATAAGGGCGTGTGCTTTTAAGTGTGCTCTATTTAATTATCTTTTGTTCAGTGCAGTTTCTTCTACATTGTAAGGTAAGCATAACCTCAGGTGTTTTAATATATTTCACAAACACACCTAAGCAAATATGCACACACAAAAAGGAGCATTATAGGAGCCATTATATATGTATAGGTGCCATAGCCATGAGGATTTGACTCGAGAGATCATGAGCTCTACAGAAAAACTGGGTCACTCTTTATTTTAGTGACCGTGTGTAACAGTGACCTTGTTACATATACTTACTAACATACTTAAAGTGTAAATTGCAGGTAAAAATTTTCACGAAGATAATGCAATGTGCTTACTAAACATAAAGATAAGAACCGCCCACCATTGTTTTTTTTTATGTTTTTTATACCAAAATGCTGAATATAATATGAAAAGTTGGTGCGTTTTACAGTGGTTTTAAGCACGCCCCCTCCCTTCCACTAGGCTGGGCGTGACATCATAAAAGGTACTTCAAACTTTTACTGTATATGCTCCAGGCCTGGAGTTACGTTATATTGGAGACCTAGCTAGCAAAAATGGTTAACTATTGTGTTCCACTTTCGAAGGGAACTCAATAATACGTCATCGACGTTATGGGGAACGCCTCAGGCGTGACAGGTGTCTGAAATCAAATATCAACTCACAGCAATCATGTTGACCGGCGACAGCCCGTGCATCATCAGCTCGAATGATGAGCGCGCAACCTGGATGTATAAAAAGGGTGCCTTGAAACCGTGACAACATCTTTTCGTCTTCAGGGACTGTTTGTCTGTTTTGAGTAATCAACAATGAAGCGTGCAGAGAAAAGGAAAAATACTTTCCGCAAGTGTGCCGACCCGTGTCCCAGATATTTGACACCGGAGGATTCACACGATCTGTGCGTTTTTCTGCTTGAGAGAAGAGCACGCGCGGGGAGTTCTCGAGGGAGCTTCCTGCGCAAACTGTGAGCGTTTTTCTCTGAAAACGTTCCGTTCTCGTCTGTCCCACTTCTCGAGTGAAGTGGGCGCGGCATCTGAACCCCGCGGTTTCGGTCCCGCCAGTGTCGCTTCCCGTGCACCCCCTCCTCCTAGCTAGGGGAGCAGTGCGCGCAGGAGGTATAACTCCCGCGGGAGGCAGGATCTCAGGGATCTCACCTCCCTGGATCTTGTCTCCTAACCATTGTGAAACAGTAGAACTCAGGTTTCTGAGTTCCTGAGTCCTGGTGTGCTTCATTCTGCACGCTGCAGGTTTTTATGTTGAGTGAAAATGTTTTTTCTGCGCAAATAACATTTTTCTCTTCTTTTTCAGAACTCGTCTACTGTACAGAGCCGGGGACATGTTTGGCAAGCAAAGGTAATGTATTGTAAGGTGAGCTGAGCTCCCACATGTGGTCGCCAGGTAACAGGCCTCACCAGGCCTTCCAGGCTATGAGCTTCCATATGTCAGGTCACAGGCCTTATCCAGCCTTCCTGAATATGAGCTCCCACATACTGTGGTCGCCAGGTTACAGGCCTCACCGGCCTTCCTGGTTATGAGCTCCCACATACTGTGGTCGCCAGGTTACAGGCCTCACCGGCCTTCCTGGTTATGAGCTCCCACATACTGGGTTTCAGGTTATAGGCCTTACTAGGCCTTCCTGAATATGAGCTCCCACACGGTGGTCGCCAGGTTACAGGCCTCGCCAGGCCTTCCTGGTTATGAGCTCCCACATGCTGTGGTCGCCAGGTTACAGGCCTCATCCGGCCTTCCTGATATGAGCTCCCACATACTGTGGTCGCCAGGTTACAGGCCACACCCGGCCTTCCTGATAAGAGCTCCCACATACTGTGGTAGGCAGGTTACAGGCCTTACTAGGCCTTCCTGAATATGAGCTCCCACACACGGTGGTCGCCAGGTTACAGGCCTCGCCAGGCCTTCCTGGTTATGAGCTCCCACATGCTGTGGTCGCCAGGTTACAGGCCTCACCGGCCTTCCTGATATGAGCTCCCACATACTGTGCTCGCCAGGTTACAGGCCTCACCCAGCCTTCCTGGTTATGAGCTCCCACATGCTGTGGTCGCCAGGTTACAGGCCTCATCGGCCTTCCTGATATGAGCTCCGACATACTGTGGTCGCCAGGTTACAGGCCTCACCCGGCCTTCCTGGTTATGAGCTCCCACACACGGTGGTCGCCAGGTTACAGGCCTCACCGGCCTTCCTGATATGAGCTCTCACCTTCTGTGCTCGCCAGGATACAGGCCTCACCGGCCTTCCTGATATGAGCTCTCACCTTCTGTGCTCGACAGGTTACAGGCCTCAACGGCCTTCCTGGTTATGAGCTCCCACATCCTGTGGTCGCCAGGTTATAAGCCTCACCGGCTTTCCTGGTTATGAGCTCCCATATATTGGGTATCAGGTTACAGGCTTTACTAGGACTTCCTGAATATGAGCTCCCACCTACTTTGGTCGCCAGGTTACAGGCCTCACCGGCCTTCCTGATATGAGCTCCCACATACTGTGGTCGCCAGGTTACAGGCCTCACCGGCCTTCCTGATATGAGCTCTCACCTTCTGTGCTCGACAGGTTACAGGCCTCAACGGCCTTCCTGGTTATGAGCTCCCACATCCTGTGGTCGCCAGGTTATAAGCCTCACCGGCTTTCCTGGTTATGAGCTCCCATATATTGGGTATCAGGTTACAGGCTTTACTAGGCCTTCCTGAATATGAGCTCCCACCTACTGTGGTCGTCAGGTTACAGGCCTCACCGGCCTTCCTGGTTATGAGCTCCCACATTCAGTGGTCACCAGGCTTCAGGCCTCCTTGGCCTTCCTGGTTATGAGTTGTCACATGTCAGGTTTCAGCTTTCAGGCCTCACCAGGCCTTCCTGAATGTGAACTCCCACTCACTGTGGTCGCTTGGGTGTGGTTGTGAGCTGTCACCTGCCAGGTTGTAGGCCTCATTAGGCCTTCCTGAATGTGAGCTCCCACACATTTTGACTATCAGGTTACAGGCCTCATCTGGCCTTCCTGATTATGTTAAAACCATACTTATGGTAAGTCACACGACGAAACGTCTTGTGTACTTTCTAAAATCCATTTTTATGGTAAGGGTCATGCGCTGTTTGCTTCGGTCCCTTCCTATGTGGTCCAGACCCAGGTCTTTCACCGCTGGTCCCACTCTAGATGCGTCCTGTCGTCAAAGTTTGTTACGACAGATGCCTTTTCTGATCCAGGTCTTCCTGGATTCGGAATTACTAAGTACATGCACTTTTGTTTCATGTACTTTCTAAAATCCATATTTATGGCCTTTCTGAAACTAGCCCCACATGGTGTGGTTATCAGGTTACAGGGCTTGTCAGGCCTTCCTGATATGAGCTCCCTCCTACTGTGGTTGTCAGGTTACAGGCCTCGCCGGCCTTCCTGGTTTTGAGCTCCCACATTCAGTGGTCACCAGGCTTCAGGCCTCCTCGGCCTTCCTGGTTATGAGTTGTCACATGTCAGGTTTCAGGCCTCACCAGGCCTTCCTGAATGTGAACTCCCACTCACTGTGGTCGCTAGGGTGTGGTTGTGAGCTTTCACATGTCAGGTTGCAGGCCTCATCAGGCCTTCCTGAATGTGAGCTCCCACACATTTTGACTATCAGGTTATAGGCCTCATCTGGCCTTCCTGGTCATGTCAGAACCATACTTATGGTAAGTCACATGATGGAGCATCTTGTGTACTTTCTAAAATCCATTTTTATGGTAAGGGTCATGCGCTGTACGCTTCAGTCCCTTTCTATGTGGCCCAGACCCAAGTCTTTCACTTCGGGTCCCACTCTAGATACGTCCTGTCGTGAAAGTATGCTACGACAGACGCCTTTCTGGCTAACTTCTTAATTCTGATCCGGGCCTTTTCTGGACTCAGAATAACTAAGTACATGCACTTTTGTTTCATGTACTTTCTAATGTAGCCCCCACGTGGTGTGGTTGTCAGGTTGCAGGCCTTATCAGGCCTTCCTGGTTATGAGCTCCCATATTCTGGGTATCAGGTTA